CCTGCGTCTGAACCGGGCTAAAAGGTGCTCCCCGCCGTGGGGCTCCCCGCGGTTAAGGCATTCACCACGGGGAGCTCCGCCGAAAACGGAGGGGGGAAGGAGGGGGGGTGTGTCCTGCACCTCCAGTCACAGGCTGCTGGTAGCGCTGCACTACAGAAGCACCAGGCAGGAGGAACTGCACCCGGCTGCTCTGAAAGGGCTAATTCTCTGCACTGCCCATGCACCTGCGCTGCACTGGGAGCTCTGCACTGATCTGTTACTTCTCCAGTGGTGCACTGTTACAAAATAGTACTTCCCTCGTATAGTGTTTTTAAGAGGAAAATGTGGTCCATGTTATCAAGAAATATGTTTGTAATAGACACAAGAAATAGCTATATAAATGTATCGTTATATTAACTTTACGGAGTGCTTGTGGTTTCATTAACACGGCTTCAGTGCTCTTGCTGCTTTGCTGAATGTCATATGTTTGTGCAGTTTTTACCCAAGATCTTTTAAGTCATAGATAGCACAGACCGTTTGAAAATGAGTTTAGCTTTTTCAGCAGAAGCAGCAACATCCTGGCAAGCTGTCAAACAAGGATGCAAATGAAAATGCATGGACTCAATAAGAAACTAATTACATTAAAATACTTTTCTTTCAGTGTGCGTATTTAAAGCAGAAAATTGTTCTAGGAAATGGATTTAAAATAATAAAACACTTACCTGAGTTTTTACACGTTTCTGCTATTGTCTGTTTTCCTGCTATAGCCTTGTGGAAGAGAGGGGAAGGGGGACTACTGTTACTTTCCTTGGTAGTAAGAGGAGCTGAATTCTACCTCAGTGTTTTCTTCCATTGCCATTCTGCAAGAGAAGGGGGAAAGGTCCTACCTTGATAGCTTCATCATGAGAACTCATTTGATTGCTCAGTGAAGCTATTTTTCGTATCGAAATGATTCTGGTAATAGATACGGGGAAAGTTAGATAAACATGAGTAGTTCTGTGGGAGTCAGTGGACTGTTTCTCTGCCTGGGTAGTCATCCAAATAGGTATTTGTAACAATGCAGTTCAATATTTTACCATGTAGATTGGTCGCCCTCAAGCTTTGGGACTTCTGTGACCCCTTCAGGATGAGCTGCTGCTGAAATCTGTCCTGTCTGCTGTTGTGTGCCCCTTAGTGCCCCTTGTGCTGGGCCCTGTGATATCTGACTCAGAGGAGTAAGTAGACTGGAAACTACTCAAATGATTAGGGTTTTTTTAGCTGAATTTGGCTGCAGCTAGTGCTGGGACAACAGAATAGACAAGTATGAAGGCAAAGCTGCCATTGGACTTTTCTTTTTGGTAACATTCCGTTGCGATAAGAGCCGAAACCTTAGTTGTACTTTGAGTATCAGAGGGAACTTGTTTCATAAAATTAAGTGGGCCTCTGTTCTCAATTCCCTCGTGGAATTTGTGGAAGGTTCAACTATCCTGCCTGTTCTTCAGTGAAGAAGAGATTAACAGAAATGAATGCATAGTGGATGGCAAAGAATGGTTATCAACGCAGTGGAATATGCAAGATGAAGAGCAGGATGAGGTACTGGCAATGATGAAGTGATGTGAAACCTTGAAAGTGAGGGTGAGCGGTTTGAACTTCCAGGGGAAAGAAAAATTATCTGTCACTGTGAAAACTTCAGAAAGAGTAGCCGCAGATAATTTGTACTCCCTGCTTCTCTTATGCTCGATGCCTGATGGTCCAGGATGTTTGGAACAAACTCTTTGGGTTTGAAACAAACTCTGTTTCTTGATTTGGAAAACTTTTCAATGTTTAGTGTCCCTGGTGTAAATAAAAATACATCAGAAAGTAGCAGTTAAAGTATTCAGGTAGGAATGCTGGCACATGAAGTGAGCAAAAGTGATTACATCAGTCAGAGCTGGAAATGAACTAAAATATTCATAAATTAAATACAAAGGCACCACCACGTTGCATCTAGTGAGTCATTTTGTCTTCTTTGTACCTGGGTAACCCTTTTATGTATTTGGAAATGAGCTTTTCACTGAGAACAGATTCGATGTTATGGCTCTGAAGAAGTTATGAGAGGGGTTTTTACTTACAAGTTCTGTAATTCTGATCCCCAAGCCCATGGGTCATTTGTTGATTTTAATGTTATAAAAGATTCTTAGCATAATCCAGTTTTGCCTGGTTGATAATGTAGGCCATAGATTGCAGTCTGTGATTCCTGGTTTTAGCTTTGAAATGATGAACAGCTTTAAAAGCAGCCTCTGCTATCATACTGCATACTTTTTAAGATAAGCTATGTGCTAATGTTTATTATAAATTGCTTTTAGTACTTTAAGGCAAGCTATGTGCTAATTTTTAATCATAAACTGTTTTCCAAATTCAGGGCTGATCTGTGTATGCATATTTCAAAAGTCTGTAATGCAGATTAGAAAGGACAGATTATTTTCCCCTGGATGTCGCTAGTTGAGAGTGAAAATTACAGAACAGGTACAGCTTCTCTTCTCCCTTCATGCTGCTGTGTGGAATGTCATCCACAGGCCGAGCAAGATATGTTTGTCTGCTCTTAAGATTATGTCTCCAAGACACAATTTGGAATTTATGACATGGGCTATTTTATAGACTTTGCCCATTTTTTTTCTCGACCAAGTTTGTCACTGTTTGAGCTGCCTAAATCTTTAGGATTTTGCTTTTTAAAACCTTATTATGGCCTATACTTGTGTTTACTAGGAAGCTACAGCTATCTGTGATCAGGGACTGTAATTGATGCCATTTAGAAATTTGTGGTACTTGATTGTGAGCAAAAACAGCAAGGAACACTTGCTGTTCCTGGGGTTTCAGACGCAGGCATTTTATATACTGATCAGTGACCTCAAGTGTTGCAACACTCATATTTTTCAGATATACAGCAGTCACACAGCAATTAAACCAGTTTAATGTTCTTTAATGTTTTTAGTCTTTATGATTTTATAGAAAAATGCATTGATACAATCTCTGTTACATTGCAGTGGCAGGCAATGTTTATGGTCAGGTTAAATATTAGCAAACTATTTGTGGTTTGTATCTTCTATTTATATGTGGGAGAAGCAACTATGCTGAACAATGCTTTGTGGCATTTACTCTTTGAAGACTTCTTCAGATTATCTTTGATAGTATTGACATTTTGCTGACTAGCTGTTTTCAGAAAAGGCATATTATGCATGTTTTATACATAATTTCATTATTTCTCAATGACTAGTAGTGTGGTAGAGATCAGAGGTGCTGTCAGAATTGAACAATTGAATCAGTTTAAAGCATTTTACAGTGAAATATTTAGGGAGAAGTGCAAGTTAATTACAGTTATTGGAGAGTCACTGATACTTACTATGGTATTATTTCATTTATGTTTTCATAGCCATTGTGAAACTATGTGGAAATGGGGTAGTGGAGATGATTCTCCTTCCAAAACAGTAGTAAGTATTGAATTACTATTAAAATAATACTTTCTTAAGAATTTCTGACATAGAGAATCTTTAATTGTTGATATACTAATTGTATGTATTTGCTCTTTCGTAAATAAGTTGCTTAACTAGTTTTACCATGACTTAGTTTTAGGACTCTCAAAGTCAGGTTGGGTTCTTGCTTCCTGTTTACTTGATATTTAATCTCTCATATGTAACACAGCTGCTGTATTCCTTCTCACTATGATTATCTTGCTTTAAGAAAACATCTGTAGGAATTACATAAGCTTTATCCCAAGTGTATTTTTTGTGTATAGTGTGTTCAATATCAATATTCTACTGCCACTAGGTTCAGTAACGCTACTGGTTTTTACAGTGCAAATCCAGAAAATGAGGAGATTCAGTTTTAAGATACTTAGGATGCTTTGGTGGTTTTGCTGTATTGCAAACTAATGCTCCTAAACCAGTTTCTAAGATTTATAATTTCATGTGTTTATCAATCGGTCTGGTGTAGGTACGTACAATATATGTAAGTTTTAGTATTACACTCTAATAAGATTTGCTGAATGTTTAAAAAAAAAACCCAAACAAACACAACTTGAAGACTTCTTGCAGAAGCAGTATTGTCTGCACCATTTTGTTTGTTCAAACTATACTTCATGTCTGAAGGCTGCAGGCTCACAAGATGCAAGAAGCATGTCGGTGACAGATTTGACTGAACAGCTGGCAAGTACTGAACAGCTGGTTACACAGCTAAAGGAGCTTGTCAGAGAGAAGGATGCTGAGCTTCGAAATAAAGATCTTCAGTTAAAGGTACTGTGCGTGTATTCTTGTCAAAAAGGCTGTTTATAAAAACTCTTCAGTCCTGTTTAGCACGAGCTGTTTTTGTCGATACAGGCTTATAGGGAGTTGTCGCAACTCTAGGAACGCAAGAAGCCTTGGTCACAATTAGCTGTCACAATTCCTGGGCATTGCTGCATTTTGCCACTGTATCTTCTGTTCCAAATTGTAACTGGGTTTGGGTATTACACAGGCTACATGTGTTCCTTGCCTGAGCAGATGCACTTAGTAATTGCAAGGGACAGACTGATTTTTCCGAGAGCTAGGTGTGCTTGGTCATTTTAGGCTAAATACAGGGAAAAATACCATTCAAATCATTACTGGACTTTGGTGAGATGCCAGCTTACCTCAAACTGAATTTCTGTAGATAACTTTTTTTTTCTGCTTCCACTACAAATGACTCTTTGCTGTATAATGTTCTGACTCTTAATGCTATTATATATTGTCCTCTGCTTTTGACTGGCATTAGGAAGGAAGGAACTAGAAAAAATTTATATCTAATATCCTGAAGAATTCTGAGGGTTTGTTACTGTTCTTTACTCTGTTGTTTTTTAAACAGTCATATGGTTGGTGTGTTCCTGCAAGAGACTATTTTTATATTTAAAAAAAATAAAAGCCTTCTCTGGACACTAGCAGGCAAGTGTTAAAAGTATTGAATTTTCTAAAACTTACTGTAAATTAAGTTGTCTCTTTAAACAAAATGAAATATGCTTTTATAGTATTATGAAGGTGTCTTTGCATTAAAAAAAATTAAAGTTAACTCTTTTTGTTAAAAAATCAAGCTCTGAATTTGTATTGCTATAAAAAAATAGGAACATTTCTAACATTATAATGCCCTGGATTCTGTACAATAATAATAATCATGTGTAGAAAGTTTAAATAATGAAAGGAAGGTTGTTTCGTGTATGTAGACTTTTTTGCATGTGACATTATAATGTCTCTTCAAGGGAAAGGTCTTTTTGCTAATCACTTCAAATTTCTTTTTTTTTCTTTTGTAATGAAAGAATTGAAGGATGCAGTTATTCATGTAGCTAATTTAGTCCTTCATGACTTTGATGTTTGTAGGAGGAGAAGGAATCTGCTGATGCCAAACTTTCCAAGTTGAAGCTGCAAAACAAAGCCAAGGTTGCATCATTAACCTCACAATTGGAAGAACTTAAGAAACAGTTATCAGTATCAGGAGGCTCAGAGGCAAAAGCAGAACAAAAAAAGGTAAGTGTTCTTACATTGTAAAGCAGACGTAATTTCTGTAAAGCTGTAAACAGTTGGACGTGCTGGACTCAAATCTGGAACTTAAGTTCAGATTTTGAGCTGAGTCAGATTAGGATCAGGGTAGATTGTGTGGATACTGTCAGTCCATCTGGGTATTTTTATTTCATTCTTGTTTTATCTTTCTATAGAAGTTTAGAAGATTGTACATTCCTTTCAAATTGCTTAAGTAAAAAAATTCTTACTGATCTTCATCTTATTGGCAACTCAAACTTTTAACACACGAATCGAGAAGATAAGTTTTTGAGAAAAACTAACTTGTTTCTGTAACGTCCAAGATAAAAATGGAAATATAAAAATATCCTTGGTAGCAAAACGTAAATTAAGTGTAGGAGTGTCTCATTTAAATGGCCAGTGTTTTACCATTAACAAAGATTCTCAGGTCAGTTTTTAGTAGCCCAGTTGTATGAATAGACTTGATTTTCTTCAAAACAGCATCTTTTCACTTCATACAGTTTCTAAAATAACTTTAGTGAGGCTTTACTGTTTCTAGGACGTTCGCTAAGGTATGCTCAAAGTGAACAGAAACAGATCAGTTTGTGGAAGTCCCTAGGTGTCCTCACGGAGATGCACTGTTTATGCTTCCGATCTGTTTTGCTAATGAAACATATTCTTAACAACTGCACTTGATTTCTTTTGCAATGGCAAATAATTTCTGTAACCCAATAGTTACAACTATTGAAATTCTGATTGGAACCATTTGCTTAGGAACAGTTTAATTTACACTTTTTTTCCTCCCAATAGTCCTTTTTTTCCCTCTGAGTTATATGGACTACACTTGCCAGCTTATATGGGTTACGATTACCAGAGGAAATGAATGCAGTTATTGCACATTCCCATCCACTTTGCAGCAATAATTATCATTAATAATTTAAATATGAAGATTTTTACAAGCTTGATATAAATTCTGTGCCTGCTTTGTCTGGCTTCTACATGGAATATGTAATATAGAAGATAAATGAAACACAAACCCTTAGTAGAGTCCACTTTTTCCTCACCAGTATTATCTGAATAGGTAGAGGTGTGGAAGTTGGGTGTTACCTATTTATGGAATGCAAAACTCCCTGTTTTTGCAGACATCAAAAGATGGTGATCAGGAAAATGCTGCAGCAAATCGTGGGAAAATATTGGTACTGAGGAGGAGAATTGAAGAACTAGAATCCCAGATCACACAAAAAAATGAAGAGTTACAAAAAAAGGTGATGTTTTATATGATGCTAAGTGCATGGCTTTTCACATTTGTGGTGTAGGATTATGTTTAAATATATTTATTTAAATATAGTTATGTATGTAATTATATGTTGTATTACTAAACAGATATTCTGAGAGAGTTTTCTGTTAGTAGACAGAGAAGGTTATGTACTACAATCTGTCTGAGCAAATGCTGCGAGAATTCTGTCATCGGGTCTCCAGTGAGCAGTAAATCCTCAAATATGCTTTTGTAGTCGTTTGGAAATGAATACATTAGGATACACAAATATGAACTTTGCGGGTTAATGTTATATTTAAATCTTGTATTTTGAACAAAAATGCTGTTTTGTTTCAGGTTTTTCTTGTTGCAAAAATAAGTCATAACAGGAGGAAATGTAGGCAAGGAATGATTTCATGTTATGGTTTGCAGCTGTTCTGTGCAGTGGACGTGACTGTTGACTGTGGAAAGTGGCAAGAATGTCAATGCTGCAGAATTTCAGAGAGAAAGACTCAGTAATTAAAGATTACAGCTAAAATTGAACCAGGTTATAAATTTGATTGTAATTTTTTCAGTACCCTGACACAGACAGTAAGGAACTAATGCAAACCGTTCTTCTGTGCTGTAGATGGTGCAAGTACAGGTTACAAGCAATGCTGTCTTTTTTCATTTTCAGAGTGTTGAACTGGAGGCCCAGCGCTGTCGTGGGACTGAAATGGATGCCATGCTGGCAGAGAAAGAAAAGAAGTTAGCTGAAAGAGATGCTTATATCATCGATTTACAGATAGCATGTGGATCAAGTGGTGTTGCCAATGAAATACTCTTGCCCAATGAAGAATTGAAGGTATATTAGCAGCTCAAATATAAAATCTCCCTAGAGGTTTCAAGGAATCATTGAATTCTGATGCGTTATACAGTGGATCCTTCTCTGAAGCACAAATCCTCTGCACTTATTCATGTGAATAAAAATTATTTCCTGATTATTTTCATTTCTGTTAGTAGATCTACATATATTTACTACTTCTGTCAGTATCATTTTTATGTAGTATTATTGACTTCAGAAGCCGTTGGCAAATTTCGTTCAAATTAAAACCAAACCTGAATTTTGAATTTAATGTTGTTTTAACTGAGGGAGGGGCTAGGAGGTGGCTTCATGATGGTTGCTTTATCTTTTTTCTGGGCCCATTCTTTTAACTGTCTTTTGATTTGGATTCTAAAGAATCAGCTGGCTGTTAAAGAATCGTCACTACAAAGCATGCAGGTTCTAGTTCAGAACCTTACCAAGAAGGTTGGAGATAGTGAAGAAAAATGTAGCTTGTTCCAGGAACAGATTGAGAGTCTTAAAAATATTCAGAACAAAGAAAGAGAGCGTTTCCAAGGAAAAGAAGCTACATATATGGAAAATGTAAGTAAACACACTGTAAAAATATTTACATTCTTTGGTGGAAGAAGTGGTATCTTGCCTGTAGTGTTTCCATCTCGATAGTTAAGAAATGCCATTTTTAATTTTGGATGATTCTTGAGTAAAGATCTGTGTGGTGATCATGAGACATGAGAATAATGAATCAGTAGGTGGTTTGTGCTGGTGATAATTGAAGTTGAAAGTTTTATGCAAGAAAGGAGTTTAAGGATGTGGCTGATGTTTGGGCACAGAGGAGCTAGTGTGTAAGTGAAATGACATGTGAAGAATTCTCCTTGAATCTGCAAACATCTCTCATGTAGCACTACATTTGAAGGTGCAAAAACGCACACATGCAGTGGGTGGTGGTGGTTTTGGATTATTGTAATCATTCTTGGCACAAACAGCTATTTGGCAGATCACTTTCACTTGCACAGTGAGCTATTTGGCACACTTTTTAGTGTGAGAGCATGGAAAAAAATTGTGTTTTCCTCCTGACTGAAAAATAGCTGAAGTAGTTTGTTGTACTTAATAGGAAACTTTTCTTGTACTTAATGGGAAACTTTTCTAGAAGTTAGCAGCTGATTAACAGGCCAAGACAAACAACAACTTTGTTAAATAATACTTAAAAAAAACCCCCAAGGGTGGAACTAGGGAGCATGCTACCCATTCCCTGATGTTGCCAGGCCTTTCCAACTCCCTTGGAAGCTAAATCTCTGGTTTTAATGTGATGTGCCTGATCTCTCAGCGTTTGAGTTCTACCATGTATGAAACTATTCATCTTGGTATTTCCCACATCATTTGATGTCTGAGTTTATTTTATCTTGTAACAAAAATGGTACTTTTGATCCAGAACGTGACCACACCTGTGCAGTAGCATACAGAGAGTTAGTTTTGATACAGAAAGAAAGAAAATACGAACAGTTAAGACTGTAAAAGCCATTTTGGTAAGCACAGTGTCGTCACTCAGATATAAACCTGAGTAGGACTTTATGTGAATTTATTCAAAATGTCAGTAGTGAGATTCCAAAAATTATATCCAGTTCTTATAAAAGTTGTAAGACAAGTTGGAGGTAGAACACAAGTTGTTGAGGAGAAGGCAGCTAGGTTTCAAAGTTGCCATTTGGGCTTCATTGACAGAAACTTGCTGGAAATGAACATGATCAGTGCAATCTTTTAGAAATGAAGAAGTCTCACGACAATGGCATCCAAAAAAGAAAGGTGAAGATCTGTGTTATTAAACAAAAATGAACAGTACCATGCTTCTCATTTAAAGCTTGTTATTTTGGAATTGAGACAAATTTTCTGTAAGTTGGAGGTTTATCTGCGTATACCACTGATGTCATTAGTCACTGACTGATTGGTATATTTACTGTTAAGTGGAAGCAAAATTCAGACTTAAGGTAGAATACGTTATCTTGCTGTATCTTTAGTTAGACAATTCAGTGTACTTACCTGTTGTGGACTGGTTTCATATTTACTTTCTATGTTGTTTTAGGTACGTGTGTTTCAAAATATTATCCAGGAAAAGGAAAAGGAACTGGAAGCACAGAGAGAAAAGCATGAGCAGGAGCTCTTTAAGTTAGCAGCTAAATCTGATGCAAGTGCTGACCTAGAACAGGTATGTTGCTTTGGAAACTCAAGCTTGCTTTGATTTAGTTAGATATAGGAATTTGGAATCATGTAATTACTAACCTCTGTGGCACGGTTCAGATGTCTGGTTGGGAAAATAAAGGTAAGTCTCTTTCTTTCTCTTCTGAAAGTTTTAACTCCTTTATTGATTGCTTAATGGTTTGGGTTTTTTTGCTAGCTACTAAAGGCCTTGAAACAGAAGCTCCATGAAAAGGAAGAAGTCATGCTGGGAAGGACACAGGTGATAGATGTCTTGCAAAAAGAACTGGATGCCAAGGACCAGCAATTGAAAGTAAGAAATAGCGTGTGTGCACAACTAAATTCATCAGGTCAAATACAAGTTGAAGAAGCTGTTTGGTTGTGCAAAAAAGATAATTTTGCGTAATATATTTAGGCAGTTCTTTGGGAGGCTTTGACATGTGCTGATAGTGTAACCACGGTTGTGCAAACAAATATTAATTCCAGTTAGGAAATTAACTTGAAGGAGAGGTAAAGTCCATAAAATATAAAACTGTCAACTCTCACCCATAGTTCGTCTTGATTCTTTTTGGGAACTTGTCGTGTA